TGGGCAGGTAAATGCCAGTTTTTGCCCAGGGGGACTAGCAAAAAAACCCAACCTGAACCCAAAATATCCCCCCAAATGGGGTTGTTTTATGGCTTTGGTGTCAAAAAACCACACAATAACCCACCACATTTGGGTCATTTTATCGTTTTGATGTCAACCCCTCCCAAACCACCAACCAAATGGGGTCATTTGGGGGAACTGTGTTTTGGTGTCTGACATCCCAAAATAACCCACCAAATTGGATCATTTGGGGGTTTTTTGATCGTTTTGATGCCTGACCCCCCAAACACCCCCCCAGATTGGGTCATTTTATTGTTTTGGTGTCAAATACCCTCAAATTACCCACCAAAATAGGGTTATTTTGATTTTGTTTTATAGTTTTGGTGCCCAACGCCTCCAAAAAACCTCCCAAATTGGGTCAGTTTATAGTTTTGATGCCAAAGAGCCCAAAATAACCCACCAAATTGGGTCGGGTTTGGGTGGGCTTTTTCTTATTTTGGTGCCAAACACCCTCAAGCCACCCCCTAAATTGGGTCATCTGGGGTTTTTTTGATTGTTTGGCCTGATTTATGGTCAAGTTGAGGTTGATGGGACCATGATGACCTCATATGGTCCATGATGACCTCATCAAACCCCAATTTTGGGCCATTTGGGGCTCTTTTCGGTGGATTTATTTGGGTCATCTGGGGTTTTTTTGATTGTTTGGCCTGATTTATGGTCAAGTCGAGGTTGATGGGACCATGATGACCTCATGGTCCATGATGACCCCATCAAACCCCAATTTTGGGCCATTTGGGGCTCTTTTCGGTGGATTTATGGCCAGTTTAAAGGTTCCTGATGGTCCTACGGTTCTCTAGGTCCCTCCCCTCACTGTGGGGTGCGCTTGGGAGTCACCTATAGGGTGGGAAGGAGGGTGACGAGGTGTTCGGGGGGGATCTATGGCCAAGTTAAGGTGTGTGGCCACCATGATGAGCCATTTTGGGGTCAATTCTTGACCAATCGGAGCTTCTTGATGGGGTCCCCCCCATCTCTAGGAGGCCCCCCCTTGCTATGGGGTGCATTCGGGGATCACCTATAGGGCCTGGAGGAGGGTGATGGGCAGTGGCCACTGCACAGGACACCCTGATGTCACCTCTAACTTTTTGGGGTGTCCCCCCCTCCCACAGGGCGGACCCTGTGGCTTCTCTGGGCTGTGGCACCCAGGCCCCCCTCCCTCTCTCTGCCCGTTTTTGGGGGGGTCTCTCTTCCCAGCAGGATTTGGGGGGGTGGGGAGTGGGAGCCTCTCCCAGGGATTTGTTGGGGGGGCAGGGATTTCTTTTTATGCAGGGGATTTTGAGGTATTTCCAGTGCCTTTGGGGGTGTGCCAGTGATGGTAGACATCCCATCCTCCTGCTTCTTTTGGGACGAGGAAATCCCATTTTTCGGGCAGTAAACCCCATTTTTGGTGGGGAAATGCCAGTTTTCAGCCCAGTAAAGGCCACTTTTAGAGGGTAAACCCTGTTCTTACTTCGCCTGCACCACGACTGACTGAGAACGATGCTTCTTGCTCTGGGTTTTGCCAAAATGACTCCTTCGCCCGGTCCCTAAAGAAAACAGCCACACGCGTCTTTGTAGGAGGGAAGAATCCTCACCAAAGAGCCCCCAAAATACAAAAGCAGGACTCCATGCGTTTTGCCAAAATGACTCCTTCGCCCGGTCCCTAAAGAATACAAAAGCAGGACTCCTTTTGCCTACCTCCACTACAAAGCCGGGTTTGTGTCATTTTCCATGTTTTAGCCCAATCCATGCTGTTCCAAAAATCCCTCTTCCCAATGGGCCCCCTCCGCCCGCCCCGGAGCCGGCCCTGGGGTGGCCCCGCCGCCTTCTGCCAGGCCAGAGCAGCCTTCCCCTCAGGGATGGAGGCTCTCTCACCCCAAAAACCAGCCCTGGGGTGTCCCCGCAGTCTCCTGCAAGGCTGGAAGCGGCGTTTCCCTCAGGTATGGATCCCTGAGACTCCCCCAGAGCCATCCACAGAGTGGCCTCACAACCTCCTGTGAGGCCTGGAACAGCCTTTCCCCCATGGAGAACCCCCAAACCCATCTCGAGGGTGTCCCCACAGCCTCCTGTGAGGCTGGGAGCAAAACTTCCTTCAGGTATGGAGCCCCCAGACTCCCCCAAACCCATCCCCGTGGTGGCCCCTCAGCCTGTGAGGCCGGGACCAGCGATTCCCCCATGGAGAAGCCCCAAACCCCACTCCTGGGCAGCCTTTCCCTCCTTCCTGCCCCTCGGCCTCTTCCAGGGTGGGGGAAACGCTTCTGTGCCTTCTCTTTCTGCAGCTTTGGATCAAAAGAACCTCTTCCCTCCCCAGAGCCCACCTGGCGGGGGGGCCTGGCAGCTCCTCACCTGGGGTTTTAAGCAGAAATGGGGATTTCTTCTCCCATGAAGTACGTTTTATATAGGGCTGGTTGTGGGAGGGGTTAGGGTTTGGTCAGCAACACCAAATCTTCCTTCATTTCCCCTTTTTGACGTTTTATTTAGGAGGCTCGTTGCCCTCGTGCCCTCCAGTTCTGCTCGAGGTCAAATTAAGCCCTGTTTAATTGGCTGTAATTGGTCGTTGAGGGGCACGGACCAGCTCCCCTCTGGCGCCGAGAAGGGAGAAATGGAGAAACGATTCAGAAGGGATTTAAAAGAAGAATTTGCAAAGTTTGGATGTCTTTGGCTTGGTTGATGCCAGAAAAACCCTCCTGCCCTTGTTTGTGCCCAGAAACTGTTGCTGGAGGCGACAGGATATGGAAATTGTCCCTCAAAACCCCAAGATGCCTTTTGGGGGATATCATGGTGAGTTTTAGTGATTTTAGTGAATTTAGCCAAAACCCCTCGGTTTTGGTGAGACTTTGGCAAAGGTTGCAGGGGCCCCGTTAATTACCTTGACCTGCAGGAAAATAAAAGGCAAGTTGGGAAGTGTCAAGGGGGATGCAAAACCTGTGAAAAGACTTGGGATTTTCTGAGGAGATTTAAAGGATTTCAGGACTATTTGGCAAATGACATTTACTTCTTTGAGCTCTCTCTCTGACCACACAAAAGCTCGCAGAGGGGGTTTCTTCCCAACAGCTCTTGTTCTCAGGAGAACTGGAAAGGAATCCAGCCGGCTGTCATTAAGACAGAGCAAATCCACCCATTTTGAGCCATTTTCTCCAAGAGAATGCCTCAGTTCAAACATTCTCCACCTTCCTGGCGGATAAATGACCGCGGAGGAAACCCAGGACAGGTTTAAGCTCCTAAACCCACGACCTGGTTTTTATGGTACAAGTTCAGGGTTAAAACCTGAATCCAAACATTAAAAAGAGGCGGTGGTTGGACCAAACCCAGCGTGTCCAGGGCGCAGCCACCCACTCATCCCAGTTTCCCTACTGGGCTCGGCTTCTGCTCACTGGTTTTGCTACCTGGAGTTGCTGGGAGCCGAGGAGTTGAGCCCACAGGCCCCAGCTCTGCTTTTTCTTCTGAAAAAGCTGGAAGAAGTAAAAAGGAGGGGATTTTTCCCTTGGAACTGGGGGAGAAGGGATGGAAACTGTCCCCAGGGTTTCGCTTTTCTACTTTTGCTTCTAAAAAAGCCCCAAATGGCTCAATCCCCGCCTTCTGACCTGGGGCAGATGCAGGGGTGAAGTTGTACCTGGACGGTCCATCTCCAGAGCAATGATTTCCCTGAAAAGAGGGAAGTTTTGAGGGGAATCGAGTGGTGTGTGAGGATGCGCAGGGCAGGGAAGGCTAAAGGACCGTCTTGGCGGAATGAATTTTATCCCCAGTGTGGTTTTGTTATATTTTTTTAAGCAGAATAACAAGGATTTTGGGGTTTTTTGATGGAGGATGAGACTAACATCTGCGTTCAGACGTCAGAATGAGGGCGAACGCTGGGAAAACGGGAGGAGGGAGCCGGTTTGGGGTGGGTGTCGCTCGACCCTTTCTCAACTGCGTGTTTTTGGGTAGGGGGTCCCCCATATCAGCCAGAAATGCCCCAAAATGCTCACTGCTGTTCCAGTGAAGCACTGGTTTCACTGACGTCGCAGCCTGTTGTCCAGCCAACACTCTGAAGCAGTAGTTGCTCCGTGGTCGTGGCTCTGGTGGCTTCCTACTGCTCTGGGGAGTGAACCTCACCAGTTTGAGTGGTTTTCTGGGGAAAAACACCCCAATTTTCCCACCCAGTGGGGCCCAAACAGACTCCAGTGGCCGAAGGGCAATGCTGGGGGTGGGAAGGGGCGGTTGAAGAACGAGTGATGTTTTGCTGGGAAATAGGGACGGGTTTGGGCCCAACTCATCACCTCTTCCCTCTTTTGAGATGTTTTTTGTGCCGTACCCATTCCCGACTTGCCTTCCTCACCCTCCTCTTCCTCCCCCTTTCAGCTGCATCAACGTGGGTGGCCAGTTCCAAGCGGAGCTCCCTGCCCTGCGTGACAGATCCAGCTTGGAAGAGGAGGAAGAAGGAGCCTCCCTTGTTTGGAAGCCCTGGGACGACATCGAAACCAACCCCAGGACGCAGGAGAGAGGTTTCTCTTAGGGCTTTTCTTCTGGGAAATGGGAGAATTCCACCTTTTCCCAGCAGCATTTTGGGGCGTTTGGGTTCTCTCCCGTCTTTTCCTGGCCCTGTAGCGTTAGAGGGAAGGAGATGGCTCGTTTTTGGGAGGAAAGTGGCTATATAAGAACCAGTGGTGCTCTCGGGAACATCTTCCATGAGACATGGAGGGTCTTTGCAGTCCCACCTCATCTGCAGCCAGGGAGGAGTTTTCTCTCTGGAGATCCTGCTCCAAAAGCTGCTCTTCATGTGGAAAGAATTGGAATATCCGACTTTTTTCTGGGCCTTTTCTGGTTTCCAGTCTGTTTTCTGCACTTCCTCCATTTTCCATCCATCTCCTCTGGTGTCTTTTCTCCTTTTTTGAGGAAAACCTGACTGTTTGGTGGTTTTTCTTGCCGTTGTAGTTACCAACCTGCTGAACATGGCCTCTTCCAGCGCCATCCCTGGGGCACAGCTCAACACGGAGCTGGCTCTGCATCGCCTGCACGAGGCTCGGGGCACCGTTCCAGTACGGAGCAGCCATTCCCCATTAAGAACCCACTTTGGGACTGGTTTGAACTGGGAGTCGCTCTGACTTGGCTCTTCCAGGGGCCAGAATCTCTTTGCTAAAGGCACCGGGTGCTGCCCGTTGCCACGTGAACGTCTCGTGGGGTGACTGACCCCGTCCCGGTGCCTCAAGTAGAGCTTGTTTGCGTCTGGGACAATTTGGAGAATGGAATTTCTCCTGTGAATGAGGGAATAGTCGATAAAACACCAGATCTGCCCTGGCTAAAGCCCCGAGCGGGTCTGATTGGCTCCCTCTTCTTTAACACCACTGGGGGCCTGCCCCCCTTGCCACCAGGAGCGAGAATTGCCCTTTTTCCTCCTCTGCCGGAGGAATTTAAGTTCTTGTTTCCTATACAATCTGGCAGGAAGCTCTGGAAATGCTGCCTTCTGCCCACCCTGGAGACCCGAATCCCATCCTTTGGCTGATTACCATTGCGCAGGTAAACAGGAGGAGAACAGATCTCTTGGCTTTGGGATTTGTTCTTTAAAATGTGGGTTTTCCGGTGGGGAAAAGTCTCATTTTAATCCATTTCTGGGGCTTTTTGAGGCAGGGAGATGCCTCTTCTAACAATTTGCCTGTGGCTGTTTATCCAAAGGCTTGGATACTTGGACCCCACTGGAACAGCAGTTGTTTCAAGAGGCTTTTTACACCCATGTGAAATGTGTTCACCTGATTCGTGTTAATATCTTTAACTGTTCTGTTTGTCCTTGTGTGACCATGGGCTTGGGAGAAGCGGGATTGGATGGATGTAGTTTCTGTTTCTTGTAAGAACCCCTAAGGAAACCAGTTTTTTGTTACTGGCCGCGTGGTGCTGAGCGGGAGGGGTCTGTGGGGCGCACGCCTGGAGTCGGGGGTCGTCCTGGGGGCGAGCTAAGGAAAACTCACAGAAGATTCCAGAAGGTGAGGAGGCCAAAGAAGACACGCCCATCCCTGGAGATCATTAGCATAGGCCAACCTTTGTATGAATATGTATTGGGAGAAGAGATATAAGCCCAAAACGGGACTTGCACGTGTGTGCCTTGGTTGAGTGGAGACTCCCGGTGCACCCAGCGCTGTTTGCTTGTCTTTACTCGTTTAATAAATTGTAAACTTTAATTGGAATCCTGTTTGAGGCTAAATCATTTATCACACCCGTAAGAATTTTCACCTCATCCAGAAGCAGGTAAAGCCCTTGGATCGAGGCGGAGCTCATTAGCGGGGGCGCTTTTAACCCAGAAAGTTGTATTTTCAATTACACGTTGGAATCCTGTTCCTAGGACCCTTCTTCATGCTAAAAAACCCACCAGGATAAGACATAGTTTGCCCTAATTTGGAATTCCAGTGGAGTATTTTATATCCCTGGTTTTCTCCCCATAGATACAGACTAAAACCATGTCCCAGTGCGTTGAATATTATTTCACCTGAAAGGAAAAAGTCCGATCGGGCTGCATTCGCCCTCCCCTGACGCAGAAAAGGCTCAAGAGACACCGGGACGAGGTGGGAAAAGCTGAAGACAAGGTAAAAAAACTGCTTTTCTGCTTTGGACAGTAGAAATAATGCCTTTTTTCTTCCAAGTTTTGGCTTTGCACCCCGTTTTCCCAGTGGTTTTTTGGCTGTTTAGTGCTCAGGCTTCACCTGCGCTGAGAAAACACGTTAAATCCAGCGCAAAAATCTATTTGTTTTGCCATTTTGAGATGTTTTGAGCTATTTTTTGCCTGGTTTCCAGGCTGTTTGCAACTCAAAGAAGAGACCCTGTGTGGTGCCCAAGGAAAAGCTGATGCCGGGGAGGTCACCACCCACAGCCCCACATCACCAGGGGCTCCTCCAGGGATCCTGGGTCCCGGTGTAATTCGGGAGGAAGAGGCACTGCGTCCTCTCCCTCCCCAACACTCTTCAGGCCCCCGCAGGCTCGCTTGGGCCGTGAGGAGGGGCTGTGGGGGAGGTGATGGCGGGCAGCCCCATGGCAAGCACCACCCGCCACCCACTCTCCTCCACACCACCACCCTCCCGCCCGACTCCCCCTCACCCTCAGGGGGATGCTGGTGGCAAAGAGGGGCCTCGGGCCTGCGCTGGGGCTGCTCGGCCTCAGCACAGGCCCCACGCCCGCCATATGGCAAAGCTCGGCCTGGCCACCAGCAGAACCCACCTCCTGCTCACCAAGGTCTTCGCCCTCATAGGCCGGGAGCGCTGTCAGTCTCCTCCTCTGAGGCGAGGCTGCCGCTGATTGGCCGCAGGTGGGCAGGCTGCTGTGCGGCAGTGCTCGCCCAGCAGGAGAGAGTCACCGCTGATTGGCCACCTGGGCCGTCACCCCGCCTCCTTTGGGGCCCACCCTCCCCTGAGGCGATGTTCTCTCTTATTGGCCACCTGAGGGGTCGCTCACACACACCACATCCCGCCCTAAGTGCCCGGCCTTTCCCCTCTGGGGATGTGTTCTCTGATTGGCTGGCTGTTACAGTCAATCCCACCTCCTCTGACGCCATTGGCTGTCCCGGGCCCGCTGCCTCCCCACCGCTGGGCGGGCGTTGCCAGGCGACCGGCTCCGCCTTCAGGGCTGGGTCCCTGCCCAGGGCCCGTGGGCCCTGAGGGAAGGCCGTGGGGCGTCAGCGCCGGGTCGGGGCCTTCAATAGGAGGCTTTGGGCTGTAAAAAGGAGGCTTTGGGCACGGAAGGGCTGGGCTAGATGCTAACAATGGCGCCTTGGACCCTGAAAATGAGGGGAACCACTTGGCTGCGGCCTGAGCTGGCTTTGTTGCCCAGTGACTCCCCCCAGGGCATCTCTCTGCAGTGAGCAGCGTGAGGGTTGGAGCCTGAAAGCACAGGCCCAACGGACACTGTGGACCTTTTGTGGCACTTTTAGGGATGTTTTACAGGGCTGGTCCGTCCAGGGAGGGAACGCTGCCTGTGCGACCTGTCCAAGGATGGGAAGGGGAGCGGGGGTTCCCCAGGATGCACTGGATAATCATAGAATCGCCTAGGTTGGAAAAGACCCTTGGGGTCATCGAGTCCAACCATCTCCCCTACTCTACAAAGTTCTCCCCTACCCCATATCCCCCAACGCCACATCTAAACGACTCTGAAACTCATCCAAGGATGGTGACTCAACCACCCCCCTGGGCAGCCTATGCCAGTGTCTGACCACTCTTTCTGTGGAGAGTTTCTTCCTAACGGCCACCCTAAACCTACTCCGTGGCAGCTTGAATCCATTCCCTCTTGTTCTGGCGCTAATTCCCTGGGAGAAGAGACCAGCACCAACCTCTCCGCAGTGTCCTCTCTAGGAGTTGTAGAGAGCGATGAGGTCGCCCCTCAGTCTCCTCTTCCTCAAACTCAACAGTCCCAGCTCCCTCAATCGCTCTTGGTACGATTTGTTCTCTAGGCCCCTCCCCAGCTTCGTTGCCCTCCTCTGCACCCGCTCCTGCACCTCCATATCTCTCTTGGATTGAGGTGCCCAAAACTGGACACAATACTCCAGGTGTGGCCTCACCAGTGCTGAGTAGAGGGGGACAACCACCTCCCGACTTCTGCTGGCCACACTCTTTCTCATACAAGCCAGGAGGCCATTGGCTTTTGCGTGACCTGGGCCTGACGTTCCTGCTCTGGAGCGAGGGGTGGAGAAGGGACTGATGGGGTTTGACCCCGGCCGGTAACGGAGCACCAGCCGCTCGCTCACTGCCCCCAGCGCCACAGGGGAGAGAATGGGAAGGGTGAGAGCCAGACAATCCCTGGGTTGAGGGAATAACGGAAACACAGTAAAACAAGAGCAGTGATACCAAACGGTGATGAAGAAGAAAATAGCATAGGGTGAGAACTAAAGTGCGAGGCAGACAAGCGATGCAGCTGAAGGCACCCCCGACGGAGCGCTGCCCAGCCAGGCCCTGAGCAGTGCCCCCCGTGCCAGCCTCCCCCGAGGTTGATGGCAGAGCAGGATGTCCTATGGCACGGGATGTCCCTCCGCTGGGCTCAGCCGTCCCAGCTGTGTCCCCTCCCAACGCACTGTGCACCCCCAGACTGCTGGCTGGCGGGGTGGGCAGAGAAGCAGAAAGGGCCCTGATGCTGCCTACACGCTGCTCAGCAGGAACGAGCACATCCCTGTGGGATCAAAGCTGTTTCCAGCGCCAATCCAAAACGCCGCCCCATAGGAACTGCTCCGAAGAAAAGGAACTCTATCCCAGCCACAACCAGCACAGCGCCCCGGAACAAGAGAGGGTGCTGATGCCAGGAGAAATGGCGACTCCAGAGCTTTGCGGAGCACCGGTGCCTTTCTGTGCCCCGAGATGTCTCCGGAGGGGCAGGTCAGGCTCAGGCTTCTCTCCTCCTCCCCTCCGGGCTTTGTGGTCTGGGGGGGGAGCTGGGCCTTTGCTGTCAGGACAGGCTGGGTGCGGGGCAGCTGGCCTGCAGGCGGTGGCAGAGGCCAGGAGGGACACTGTCTGCTCGGCACACCCCGGGCGGTCCCCATGGGAAGGACACCACAGCGCTGGGCTGCTCGTTCCAGCTTTATTGTAAACTTAACGCTATTCAAATGCAGCCGTTTCCCGGAGGCTTATTTCCCCTCCCCGGGACTCAGCTTCTCCCCTTTTTTTTTGCCCCCCTTTACCTCCTACTTCAAGTGATTGTAAAAATATGGGGTGTTTAGTTAGAATTTAACTTAATTTAGATGAGCCAGCGGAGGTGGCTGGGAAGAGTCACCTTTAAATCTTCTTTTGTATTTTGAATAAACGGTTGTTAAGTTTGGGGAACAAATTACTCATTAAATCATAAAACACCTCCTGGAACCACATATGTCACAAGTTACTTTTTTTTTTTTTTTTCCCTGCTAAATAGTAATCGGTGTCATGAAGTTTCAGGGGTTTTCTAGTGCTTTTCTAGTGCTTGTTGATGAGGAACGTCCAAGCTCAATGAGCTAATCAAGGAGGAAAAGGTAATTATCTCAGTGAAGGTGGCCGTTATCCGACCGGCTGACTCTGCAGAGTTGGCCTAATAAGGTGTGGGCTTAAGAAGGTTAGAATACTGGGAATTCCATTTCACGTAGATTTGGGTTTTTTTTTTCCTGTGCAGAATCTCCTTTGTGTTGAGGAAGAAGACGACAAAGCAATAAATAATACAAAGCAGCTCTTTTGGGGTCTTTTTTGGGTTGCTTTTGTTACAGACGGGAGGAAAACAGGACAAGAGCGGGGAAAGTACTAAAATGTGACCTTGGTTCATTCCCATTAGTTCCTGAAAGGAGAAGCTGGTGGAGAAAAGCTGTTCAATCTGAGGACTCATCAGGTGTGGGGCTGCCCCCAGCTGAAGGAGGGACAGAAGCAGCTCTGACTCTGGAAACACCTGGAATGGGAGAGAGCGAGCGAGAGAAGTAGGGAATGGGGAATAAAAGGCCTTGGGAACGTTCCTGTGCAGAACAGGAATTCCCTGGGAGCTCTGGAGTGGGGCCCTTGGTGTGCAAAAGGGGAGCATGAATGCTCCAGGGGGTTGTTCAGAAAACAACAGTGGGATAAACCTTCTACCCCCCTCACAGTAAAGAGCTTTCTCCTCATCTCCAGTCTCAATCTGTTCCCCTCCAGCTTGAAGCCATTGCCCCTCGTCCTGTCACTGCAGCCCTTTCTAAACAGGCTCTCCCCAGCCTTCCTGTAGCCCCCTCAGGTACTGGAAGGCCGCTATTAGGTCTCCCCGGAGCCTCCTCTTCTCCAGGCTGAACAACCCCAGCTCCCTCATCCCGTCCTCGTAGCAGAGGGGCTCCAACCCCCTGATCATCCTTGTGGCCCTCCTCTGGACCCTCTCCTTCAGGTCCATGTCCTTCCATAAGTTGAGGGCTCCAGCCCTGCACACAATACTCCAGGTGAGGT